GCGCTTTTGCTCGATTTCTCTTGGTAAATAAATAAATTAGTAAATGTACGTTTATTTTAATTATAATATGTAATCTCGAAAAAAAATGTTAACGCATTATTTCATGCGCAATCATGCAATCCGATGCTTTTTTTCTTATTTATGTTGATATTTCTAATGAGGAGGAAAACTACACGATAGAAGGGATGATAATAAAGCAGCGAATATTTTACGTGTCTAATCAGGAGCGCACGGGCGGAGAAGTGAAAAAATACACAATGGCTCGATCGATACGCACTTTGTAATAAGTCTATGTTTTTCCTGGCCGTGTGCATAACCCACATTAAAACGAAAGAGAGATATGCAGATAGCGAATGCGTGCAGAGGGATCTCGCGAGGGATTTAGATCAATCTCGCATTTAATTCGATTACTTGCGTGCCGTGTTGCTCGTGCGCGGATTAATTCATACGACGACCCGCTTGTCCCGTTTTCCATTCTGTGCTTTAATGAGCAGCGCGCGAATGGCGAAACGTATAACATCGCACGACCGGCGTGAAAACCCGGCCCGGACATTAGCCTTTTGAAATTAACGCGAAAGCGATCCCTATCGCGCGAATTTCCTCATTCCGCTGGTATCTGGTCTGGTCGTGCTGTTGGTCCTTTTAAAGTTTCATCTCTCGTAAAACTCATTCACGATACTGCTGCAATTTTGATAGCGAATTGGATAAGAGATGAAGAAAAAGTAATAATTGTTTTGGGAATTAAACTCAATGTGAATCCGCGTAAGATCGCCTCCATGAAACTGCATGTGCACCAATCGTTCCGCGCGAGAAAGAGAATTAAAAAAAAAAAAAACTAGAGAAAAAAATCAAGGGAATCATAATCATCAAAATACTAATTTTGCAAATATAGTAGTTATCAAACGACATATTATTTTCGAGCAATAATTTAACATAATCTAAAGCGACAATGCACTGAAATAAATTACTCAAAACAAATAATCTTTTTTTTAGCTATAAGTTTGTTACATATGTCTCGCACACTGGACCCTTTTTCGCACGAAATACCGTTAGAACAAGTAACATAAAAGGATCGACGGCGTTACAACGGACAGTCGTTAATTGCTTTACCGCGATGCGGTTGTTTCCGGCGCGCTGCGGCAAAATCCACAGAGACGTGGCATGCAAATCTCGCTGGGTTCGGCCTTAACACTCGACTAACAGAGAATAAGATACGCCACGGCAGGGCGCCGACAATGTTGCCGGCATTATGAGAACAAACCCTCTCGCCAGCGAGCTATCGTGGCGGTTGGCTGGATAGGTCGGTGTGGTGGCTTGTCGGTACACCCTTTCACATTTAGCCCCGAACTCGTTACGCGGTTCGAGGGCCGCGAGCATTGAGTTACAGTTAACTTTAAGTTATCCTGGAACTTGCCGTCTTTGAACTTCCGGAAAACTGCCAAATGGACGCCCGCTACACGTTCTCTGGAAAGGTCCATTTCCTCGTGAAAACCCTAAAGGAGATTCAAAAGAGCGAAAGGTGAACCGGTATCTAGCCGCTTCTTTTCAATTCTCCATCCGTAATGTTATTTCTAAATCAACGTATTTCCGTTACCAGCAAATACAGCTGGTTCGTTACGAAAATAGAATAAACTTTAATTGAGATTCAATTATCAATAATTAAATTAATTTAAAAAATTCGATGCTTGTTTAATACAACAATACGCGAAATAAATAATCTAATAGATTATTAATAACAATCTTGCGTTTGCTATTAATTATGATTTTATATTTTCAAGTTTCTGTATATATGTATGTGTGTATATATGCATATGAAATACATAATACAAATATCAAAAATCTAATATGTATCGCGGGGTATATTGAAGAATACATTAACATATGCAATACAACTGGTAAAAAAAAAAACAATATATAAATTCATTGATACTCTTTTCGCGACAATAACAAACTGCATGGCTTTATTAGCTCAGTATTTTCGCGTCGCTGGCATTGTCATGGAATGCATACAACAAATTTCCGATTCAACATTGTTTTTGAGCTCGACATTTTTTATGTATGTATTTCTATCCATTGAAATCCCTCGTAACAGCGTGTTTGATGTGTCGTCATTTTAGTTAACAGACGATGTGCAAAAAACTGAGATAATATAAAGGACATAAATCGTACCGTGGATGCAAAGTGAAATAAGGAAAAGGAGAGAAGAGAAAATACATGCATATGTCCTACTTTCTCGTGATTTATAAAAAATAAGCTAACTCGCCGAAAAAATTGGCTAGCTCATATAATAATTAATACTCTAATCGCGAAACGGTTGCCGCGAGAAATCTCGCGTTTAAAAAGCAATTTCGGCTTGCTTGCTATAAAAATTATTATACGAGAGGTCGCGCAAGATACGCGAGGAACGAAACACTCTCTGCCTGCTCCCATGGAGGGTGTCGTGGGAGCAGGCAGAAAGAAGGCCGAGGGTTGAATGTAAAAAGAAAACGAGTTTAGCATCCCGTCGGAAGGAGCGACGCCGCACCGCGCAGATTCTAAAATACGGAAGCTATTAGCCGTAGTTTCCCATGAGCATTACCTTCCCTTATGTGTAAATGATGCAACCCCGTGGAGGCCTGTCCAACGTAAACCTCCCGCGTTCAATCTGTACCAGAGATTGAAACCGTTAAGAAAATAATTGTGTAACAATTATATCTATAAGAATCTTTTTTAGAGCGGCATATCAAAACGTGAAAATATAATTTCTAAATAAAATCAATACTAATAACATTGTTAAATAAAACCAAATAAAAATAGATGTTTTAACATTTTTAAGTATAAAAATGTATATTTTATTAATCTACCGTAAAAATTGATAAAATGTAAAAATCATATATGTTTCATTCTTATTTACATTCTCGAATATAAATAATATTAAAATAAAATTATATTTTTTTATTACCTATATATATATAATGAAAGCAGAACTCGCCTTACTAATTGTATAATTTTTCATTCTACTTTGTGTCTTTAAAAAATTTCGAGACCCTTTTTTGAATTATAATCCTTGATCTGCAACCATAGGGCGTGCAATCTGCGTTTAAAGCTGTACGCGGTCGTTGCGCGTATGTAAGTTATAGTGTTGCTCGGGTGAAAGCACAACAAGCGAGCACACCCGCGCGGTACTAAAGGGACAATACACGAGGAATATGTTCTCTATTTAAAGGCATGATGCGTGCCGTGAAATTTATGCCTCACGGGAGACTCGCTGAATTTCGACCCGCTTTAAAAGTCTACTTTAAAAGCGTTACATCATGGAATTTAAAGAGTTTGAACTATCGAATGCTGCGCAATATTGTACCGAATTAACAAGTAGAATTTGATAGTCAATTTTGCAAATGTTAGCTTCTTGAAAAAATATTATTCTCACATATCGCGTTGGTTTAATTCTATCTTGATTAAAACCAAAATTACTATTATTTGTGTGTGTGTGCCACGTATAATTACACATTTAATACAATAGAAAATAGAAACATATGCCATGCTTGGAATAAAATAATAGGAATAAAACAATTCCAGTAACAAGCACACGAGATAGCAGACTGTAAATTACGAAAAAGATTCGTTTGTTAAGTTCTTCTCGCATCGCAGAAATGAAAAAGCAGCTATATGCAGCGCAGCAAATTATATCTCATTGCAAAAACGCTCGAATGTTGCTTCTAAATAAACGACATTTAGAGAATATTCAGAATCAATGAATTCTGGCGAGATGGGAAATTACCTCGCCAAATTGTTTCCACCTTTTTGTAATTTTGCGATGCGCGCACTCTGTAATGAGATAACTAAAACAATAGCCAGTTTGCCAGACAGAAACAAACCTTCATTTTCTCCATCTCATATCAGCGCTACTGACACCACCCCCGCGCGCTCCTCACTTCATTTCGCCGAACCCTTTTAGCACATTCTCCCTATTCTTTTTCTATTAATTTCTATAGTACTGGGTAAAGCGCTATATCGGTGGATGGCTGATAAGAGAGGGTGAATTCAACTTTGAATTCTCAAAGCGTTTATCATTCTGCTGTTTTTTTTTTTGTTTTTTTTGCATACGTACCATTCCTGCCTCTTTCAGCTGTTCAGAAACCTTTTCCAGAGTCAAAGTCGTATACCTCATTACAGTTCTTTGGAGCTATTCTCGCTATTACTCAACGAGATCACGTTAACGGGGAACCGTATTATGTATAGGTTGAATAAAAAAAGCATAACGCCCGAAAAACGGTAAAACTGAATTACTGCGGATACCGGAATAAAAGCGGAATTTAAAGTTCACACTATGCTTTTCCTTTTTTCATTGATATAGCTTAATTTCCTAGTTTGTAAAAGCCAAAAAACGAATGCAAGCCCGTTGATCTTTCATTTTAAATACTCGAAAAAATTCTATCTTTTATATATATGTAATACCACGAGTAAAAAATTACTTTTTGTATATTTTTTATTTTTATTCCGTTATCCCCCAAAAAAATCCAAGCAATAATGATAAGATTAATACATCAATGCCCAAAACCTTGCATTCTCGGCCTTATTATCGTTGCGAAAATTAGAAATTTAATATATATTATATTAGATAATAATATTTAGTGATTTAGGAATTTTGTGCATTCTAATAACATTTTCTTATTTCCGCAACTCTATTATTATATTGTAACTTGATCAAATCAATCTAATATTTGATAAATTTATAATAACAAATAAAATAATTGGCACACGATATTATTAGCATGTCGTACACAAGTGACAAAATGTAAAAAAATATCTTGTCAGAAAAAAGTTGCTTCAAACTATCAAATATTGAGAGACGTTATCAATAATTTTCCGATTGACATACTTCCGTTGATATCGACAAAATGACGCAGTCGAAAGCTTCTTATAATAAATGTCGATCACTTTGTAATCGAGGCCATGAACATCGACAGTTACGTTTTCGTCACACGATTATAAAATGACATATCGGCAGTTTTACTTACAACAAATCAGCAACAATGAGGGATATTCTTCACCGCCATCGCTTTTACCGCTAAGGAAAATAAACCATTGTCTAGGATCCACTCTTATTCCATATCTGTAATATAAAATATAAAAAAATAAATAGTTTTTTATGACAAATTTTCAAAAAATAATTGTATCACGAATATCTTTGCATAAACACAACTAAATAATAATTGCAGTAAACAAAAGCAATAATAATTACAGTAATTTCCATTTGAATATGATATGATTATATCATTTACATTAACATACATAATTATGGAGTAATAATGATAACAAAAGCGATAATATAACATTAATTCTAATAACACATTAACTCTAATAAAAGATATGCACGATATGAAAAAGAATAAACTATATTAGTTTCTACGAAATAATATGCCAGTTTCACACACATACTTAATTGCATGAAGAATAAAATGGCTGTTGATATAAATATATTTATATTTAACAAAATATGCAATCCTATATCTCTTGTTATGTTATAAATAAAATAAAATCAAGAAAAAAATAATTATTAGAGGCAAAAATTGACACGTTTTCCATTATAATCTTTAGTTTTTCATTACTCGTGTATTAAGTGCAACACGAATCAAGAAGTAAATGCCTCATTATTATAGTCTATTTCTGTTTCTCTGTTACGATCTTCTTTACAGAGATAGTTGAGAAAAACAAGAGATAAAATGAGAGATGAAAGGAGGGAAAGGAGTCTGCTCATATTCTTTGTTCTTGAGATAAATAATAACCGTCACATCGCACGATGTAAAGGGGAAACCCATGCTGGAAAACAAACCAATTTTCCTAGCAGGACAACTCAAAGAAATGTAGAAAAAAACGCCTGTTTCATGATTGACTGCGATCTTGATTTGAATCTGTGATTTATTTTGATGGCGCACGTCGGAAATTATAAACGACGCCCTCAGACTAAATCATACCGGATTATTTATTGGCAATTTCGTAAAATGGCACTTTCTGTGTGCGCACGAATCATACATTAATTTCTGTGCATATATCAAACGGAGTTATGCAGAAATAGGACGCGTAATAAAACAAATAGAATATGCTAAACTACAATATTCAATTAAATTATGTTTGTCTCCATAATATAAAGAGCTATATTGATTACAAAAGCAACGTAGAATATGCAAAGAGGATTTACATAAATTTAATATGTGTTTCATGTATAAAAATATAGACATTAATAAACTCGAAATTCTAGCGAATGAGAATAATTTGTAAATAACGCGTGAGAGAAAATTATCTTTCCGTTTATCCCTAAATATAATAATATATATTCCACGACTGTGTTATTACTATCGTGTACATAAAAATACGTTTTATATGCCTTATCGTTACATTATCTTGAAAACGCAATTTGCGATAGTATCGATCGAACCCATCGAGAACATTATTTTCTCGCGAGTCACACAAGGTAGGTGTATCGGCCGAAAAAAGGTAGCTGACGGTGTACACTAATGGTTTCAGGTCGTACGTGCACGCTAACGATGATAAACGAGACTTATGGGTCAAGTAATTAAAGTATTCCAAGTGGACGCGGTTGTTACAGAGAGACAATATTTATTGGGACACAATCACCAACCTAGTTCTCTAAGAAAATGCGATCAGTCATGTTGACGCAGTTACGGTAATTGGATAGTAGCATACAAAAAATATCATTTATAATTAATTATTATAACGCGCCGTGTGACAGCTGATCGGTAATAATTTATGAAAGTGGCTTTCACACGTCATATTATATGTATGTCAGATACATATAAATAATGCAAACTCCATCTTGGATATATATCTATAGCAATTATTTGTGCATGAACCCGTTAAAGTTTATAACTTTATTGTTATATCTACAATTAACTTATTTTTTTATGTGCTCTATCATAAATAATACGTAGAAAAGTAATTTAATTGCAGACATAAAAGACAATTAATCATCATCAATTTTATTTTACTTTGCGGTCGAGCAAATCTATCAAAGTCAAATAGTAGAGAATAGATTCTACATTAAAATAATAGCATAAATTTTAAATATTTTATTCTGTTCCGCAAATGCAAATAATAAAACCCATTGATATCAATACCATTATGCATAAAAAATATTATTCAATAACCCATTCGTACACAAATGTTTACTTTAGCGGAATGGAAAGATTAATCGACAAGAAAGGAAACAATCACTCAACACCGTCGATGATTAAACCGATCCTCAATACGCGTGTACACATGATGGACGAATCTCATAAAGCCTTTTTCAAGTACTTGAAAGTTGAGGAAATATCGCACTTATCGAAACTCATCGCTCCGAGGCGTGAGCAGAAACGATATTAAATTTCTTTCCCGGCGGGAATAACCGTCTTGATCCGAGAACGCCCGTTAAATCCACGCTCGTTCTTCGCCCATCGGAGTTCGTTAATACAGCGTCACGATAAAATCCCCAATTTCGCATCGAACGTGATGAGAGGAGCCCTGGGGTGACTCTCGGTGAGTGCGAGTGCGCGCAAAAGTCCAGATTGGAAGAGTTATGGCGCCAATATGCGACGGGTCCGGATGAAAATATGAGCGCGCGCGAACGATTCGCATTAAATATTAATAAAACGCGTAGAACGAGAACGTCTTCTTCACTTCTATGATTGTAAAGAACGCAACGGATGATTCTTTTTCTCTGAAATTAATGGAAAGGCCTCAGGACTCGTTCCAAATGTCGGATTGGCCCGATGAGACGAGATGGATTGTTCTCGAGGAAAATTGGAGAAGCCGTGAACGCAGCTTGGTTAATTTATTTTTTGATATTTATCTAGATGAAATACACGTAGAGTACAGTAGCTCGGTTTATTAAAGATCCCTTTTAAAGCTCAATATATAATGTCAATTTAGTTACTTTGTATCTGAAATTTTTTTCTCTCTCTTATTATATTTAAGATATAATATTCTTTCTCTCTTAATTTTCTTTCAATACTAAAAATATTCAATAAATACATTATCTCATTTATGTCCGTGACATCTCTCTTCATCATTTTATCTTTCTTCTGGATCAATATATTTTTTAATTTGCGCTTAATTATTTTCTGTCCCATTTCGAGCTATCTAGAGATATATAGAACAAAAGATATATAAACCGATAATAATATATCACATGCGAAAACATTAAAAATTTCCATTATCAGATTCCCAGAGACGTTAGTACTTCTTTCCGAACTATAATATCGAATTATAGAGTCCGTAATCCGGATGAATGGTGAACGAGTTACATTTTAACACGACACGCGACATTTTACGAAAATCACTGATAAAATAGAATGATAGAAATGATCACTGCGACGGCGTATTATTCTATTTATTTTATTTATTTTATCCTTATAAATATCCGATATCCACAACAAAATATTTTTTCAATGTGTCGTTAAAAATTTCACTGCCATACCAGACTGAGATTGAGCAGTATTATTTTCTATTCTTGATATTTAAAAAATTTGATATGTAAATACTTTAATAGAAATATCATGTATTTTTATATCATACGCAAATGTCTCTCATATATTTATATTGTATATTATTTATGATCTTTGAAATATTGTTTCTGCTGCGATTATAAATGGCCTGGCAACCAAAAAAAAAAATGAACAATTAATGTATTCTTTGTACATAATCTATGGCACAAGAAACACATTAATAATTTTATATTTTCTTATTTGTCAGTTCATTTATAATCCCAGAACAAAAACAATAATTTTTCAAATATCACAAATTTAAAGAATTCAGAAAACACATATGAAAAAAGAGATTAACGTGCATCACAGACGCGCTAATGGATAGAAAATAATTCGAGAAAACCGAGCCATGAAACAAATGCACTGGACGGTACTGACTGCATAAATTATGACTGCGTGGCGGTTCTATGAAACAGTTTCAATCGATGCGAATAGGAAAGACAAAGAAGAGGAAACTTCAGTAACTCCCTTTACCCGTCCCCATGGACTTTTATCGATAGCAAGGGAACCTTTCGTCGGGGGTTCGATTAATTGAGCTCTCTCGCTGCCTTTTTTCACTTTGCAGAGAAGCATCTACTTGCTTTCTTACGTGCTATTTTCAGTCGCCAATTCTTCCTTCCGTCTCTCCCACCCTCGTCTTGTCGATTAATCTCGATCGCAATGGAATCGTGTCGGCAACCTCATCCTCGCGATTCGATCACCGCTTGCGTTCTTCGCGAATCGAGTCTAAAAAGGACTTTTTGCCGGTTGGAACGAATCAGTTGAGAACGCAGCGGCATTAAATGGTTACGATTCTTTCGAAGTACTCGATTGGAAGTGCCGATAAGTTAATTAAGAGGTGACGACGGTATGCAAAATTATCTGGCCAATTGAACGTTATATCATACAAAAGCGCATTGTGAAGCGCCATATCTATATTAATGAAGAATAATTTTTTAATTTACTAGAAGATATTTGCAGCTCTGAAAAAATATTCTTTTACATTATAAATGTAAACTTGTCAATGCTAATAATATATAATCTTATTAATTGCTAAGTTCATAGAAATAATATATACAGGGATATATTCAAAGAAAACCATGCAATATTTATATGGTAGATAGGACATGTGACGTAAAAAGAAGATAATCTATCTAAATCTTTATCTCGATATTTACCGAAGGTGTTCCACATGTCCTTCTTCCGTTTCCATACACGCTTGGCATCTTTTTCTTGCGGATCGCAAAGATCCGCAATCGCCGGTTGATGACAACTGACTGATTGCCGGTGAAATCTTCTGTTATAAAGTATGTATGGAAATTGAATGAAAACATTCAGAACGCGGTTTATAAACACCTAGGTAAACATCGCAAGCGACACGTAGAAGCCAAGTCAATCATGATGCTAACATACAAAAATATTATATCTCAAAAACAATTGAGTTTTTAAAGTATGTATGGAAATGGAATGAAAACATTCAGAACGCGGTTTATAAACACCTAGGTAAACATCGCAAGCGACACGTAGAAGCCAAGTCAATCATGATGCTAACATACAAAAATATTATATCTCAAAAACAATTGAGTTTTCAACCTATGTTTACTAAGGTTTTTTTTTTATTTTGGTATGCTGTGTTCTATCTACCATACAAATATTGAATGGTTTTTTTGAACCTGTGTTATACATGTGTATGTATTAAAAAAAATATATATTTTACTAAAAATTTATATATGACTGTTTCTCCAAAAAATAAATATTTATCAAATAAATATTTATTAATATAAACATAATATATGTTTAATATATTACTAATTTTAAACTATCTCTTTTACGGATATGTAAATTTTATAAGCCAATTAAAGACATTAATCGAACTCCAAAATGCCTTTAAACATCTCACAAAAGAATTTTCAAGCGATTTCGACTAGAATCGTTTACGATATCTTCGGCTGCTCGCAGCTGCGTTTGTTTCAGGTTCGTATGAAGCGTGTCAGGGCTACAACGAGCAATTACGTCGCAAGAGTTCCCTCGAAAGTTTTTCCACGTTTAACGAGCGTGATAAATTTCTGTTACGCGCCCCCGGGAGCAGCCGGACGCGAGGCCGAGAGTTTACAACGACGATAAAAATCTCGTTGAAATTATTCATGGACAACGCTTACGCTCCTCTCTCACTCTTAGAAGAAAAAGGTAGCTCTCTCTCTCTCTCTCTCTCTCTCTCTAACTTATTCCTTCAAGAATAATATTCTGCAAGGGAGAAGCGTCGCGGGATTATCAATGACGCCAATACGCGTGAGAAAGAAATCAGTTCTCTGACAATATTATCTTAATTCAAATTAGATATTATTTGTGTGAACAAATTAATTGTTGTTATTTTTCTAAACTCTAGAGATATTCATATTTTTTATATTTTTTGCGTCAATATATAGTTTTATAAATAAAATTAAAAAACTTTATAATTTTAATTATTCAAAATTGCGCATCGGTTCATAGCCACTGTCGCAGAAAGCTAATTGAATTTTAATTGAAAGGCGAGATACGGTCAGTTTTCCGCTCCATCCTACTATCCATAATTACATCATTTACTATTATTCGTACTTTTCTTTCACCGGTAGCGCAAAAGTAATGATTGGCATTTCGAGAAGTCAATCGAATAATTCATACTAAAAATATAAATTTCAGCGCCGAGACAGATAAAATTATCATAATGATAATAATGCATAAATTATATCTCGTTCGATACTGATATACGGAATAAGTTATACAATTCAAACTAGTTCAATTTTTACGGCTTTCTTCATTTCTTTTGCAAATAAAACATTCTATGTTACACGATATTCATATTGTTATCTTTTTATAAAAATATATAATTCTGAATTGTCACAGATGTAATGATCTATATTAATGATGGGCTATATGTATTTTAATTCTTTACTATGCTACTTTTATTTTTATTATACTTTTCACCTTTTATTACCGATTCTTATCGATTCCTCAATATTAAATGCTATATTTGTGTAATATTTTAATAATAATACAATGTCCCTAGTTTTTAAATATATCAATTTTTTTTCACATGCAGTGTGCGTCTGATGAGATACGAGCGTATCAAAACAGATTATGCAATCTTACTAGTCGACCTATCACGCTGTATCAACAACACTTACTGACAGATTCCAAATAACATCCACTTACACGATCGATCTGTAACCATCTCTGAAGAACAACGAATAATCGCACTGTAGCAGTTACAGTTACAAACTCAATTCTGTCAGCTCGTCGGCAATCGATTCTTTTTGTCGTACGCCGTCAATCGCTACGGTAGCGCATCCATCAAATCGATGGGGGCGCTTTTGATCGCCTTTTGTTCCCCTATCGGATTTCTATTGGTCACAAGGGTGTTTCACCTCATGCAGAGACATTCTCTTTCAGTTCCAGTGAGCAAGTAACAACTTCTTGATAAAGCTATTACTTGTTAGGACTTCCTCTTTTTTCGGTGTTATTATAACTTTAACAAATACGACCCGATCGTTAACGTTTTCTTCCCTTTCGTGTTTTTTTTTTCCCCGCGAAATTCACGCATTCTGATCCGAATGATGGAAAGCTTTAACTTAAATGTCTTTTGGAGGATTGAAAAAATCCCGTAAGACGTATTCAGAACAATGATGTCTCGTCAATGACACGATAATTTTTCGCAATTTGTGATTGTTTATATATCTTATTTAAATTGATGACAAATCTATCGCAAACTATGCTTTCATCATGATCCGCCGCGTAGTTAGACAAGAGTAAAATATCATCGATAAGTTGACTCACTTTATGAAATTTTCCAGCAGTAACCGGATACCGCCAATGCCCAACAGTAGGAAGCCCCAGTTGACAAATCCCGTGAAGTTGTCAAAGCCAGAGCTCCACGAAAAAAGACTGTCTCTAGGACGATGACATCTGTAAAATAAAAGAAAAAAATAGATTTGCAAATATAATAAATCTAATATAATTTGTACAAAAATAAAAGAACTTGCAAAATTCGTTTCTACTCTTTCGTTATTATAGCGATCTAATCAATAATTTTCCAGCACAATCTCTATAAATAAAATTTATTATATAATACAATAATCCTTAATAAAATGTATTCTGTAATAATATTACATTTTTCCAAGATTACATTATAAGTAACATCTTCACTCTATATTTTGTATTCCTCTCTTTGCGATCTCTTTATGAATAGCGAACTCGTTATTATACCTACTAACCTACGGAAATTCGATAATAGACCGTTGCTGAGTCGCTGAAGGAGAAGGTATTAAGGAGAATATTCTCATTCTGGCGCCATACTAGCAAAATGCTCCTCGTGCGCGAACAGTATGAAGAAAGACATACGAACGTCATAGGGATGAAAATGGAGCAATAAAGGGGCTTTCATATCGCACGGTTATACATGTCCTTATATCAATTTACGAACTGACGTATAGTTCACACGTGACGACGCGGTAAATGATATGAGTCATTTTCATCGCAATAAAAGATGCTCGTTATATGGCGAACGTTCGAGCAAGCAGATCTGTCTCGAAGACACTCGCGGGATTTACGATTCTCCCGTGTTTCCCATATAAATCTAGCAAAATGTAGTTTATAACAAACGATCGTAGCAAGATTACTGCTATCCGTACGCGACCCTTTCACTTTGTACTCTCGGTGGACGTTGCTTTACATCCATCAAGACATCGCAAATTCCGTTTGAACTACGTACCGCTAGAGTATCAAGATGGGCAGCAATAACAACGCATTCTCCGGATCCACGAAAGATACATGGAATGCGTGTTTCACTTTCAGAGCACATATTTTAAGCTCTTTCCAGTACAGCACGCTTCTCTTATAGAAACTTTAACGCATTAATATTAAAAAATCTATTAATTACGCATGTTAAAGATAAAAGTATTACACTGACAATGAAATATACAGACAAATTAAAAAATTGATTTAAAAAGTAATTTTGCGTAAAAGTTTTTCATATGTAAACAAAAATTTCAATCATGCAATTTTTTTCAGCAAAATTAGCACGTATTCTCTCCTATTCGCAATAACCAATTATATATATTGTTTTTTTAACTTACTATAGCGATACGCGGTACAGTTCATCCGTTATAATCCACCACTATCATGAATCACGAGCGCGCCTTATCGATCAAAGATACAAGAGGCACTCGAATGTTTTGTGCACAAGATAAAACCCTTTCGAAAAGTTTATATGATGATCCTTGTCGGTCCTCGCCGCGAGCGCGCAACCAACAGAGGGATGATAGACGCGTATCGTGGAAGCCGATTACGGAGACGCATCCGGCATATAATCCACCCAAGAGACACCAAAGACAAGAGGGTTTTGTGTTACGACCCTCCACCATGCGCTATAGATATCATTCAGATTTCATGCATGGAGTATTGTTGGCGATGTGCACTTGTCAGTCACACGAGAGATCGGCGCACCATATGGAATCTCCGATATCTGAAGTGCTTATTGAATGTACATGACGACGCAAAAGGATCTCGAATGGTACTGCGGTAAATCGATTACATAGTGGAGAACAAAAGGAATAATGATCATAAGGCGAAACTTCTATCTCTCCTGTATTCGGTCACAGTTAATATTCTTTATCGTAACGTTACTTTTTCGCAAGATCATTTACAAAACTCGAAAATATCTTATTTTAAGAATCGCAAAAGTATATATTTTTTTTTCTGAGAGTGTGCCTCGAAAGATTTCTAAGCAGTTTAGAAAAAGTCATTGTCTTAGCAACCAGTAATATATTTTCATAAGTAAATGGATTGAAACAATTCAAGAGAAATAGAAAGAAAGAAATTCATGTATTTTTCTAAAATTAATTTCTGCATCAACAATGATAAATAAAACCGTTTTCCAAATGATTCGCGAATAAGTTTTGCGGTGGAAATAACTTTGTAATACGTATATCCAAATGTGATCCGAAAATAAATCTCGTATCAAACGATACGATTTTGCCGACTTCTCAATTGGCTCTTATTTCGTGACCACTAGTATCACGCTGTCATCGAAATAGATCTCGAAAAGCTTCTATATCACTTTCATGGAAGAACCTCTCGTCTTAAGTATTTACATGAAAGATCCTAGCGGAACCCGAGGCGTGGGCGATAAGATGTATCCTTGAGATCTTGTCTCCTTGGAACTTCGGAAGACCAGAAGCTCGCAACCGAAAAGCCATGAAATTGAATTTATATCCTTCAAGATACTACAATTTAACTTCTAAATCATATAAATTCCTCGAAATATTGCAAAAATGCAAATTCTCTCCATTCAAGATCTCTTTAAAAAGCAAATGCAAATTACGATTTTAAATGTAATGCGAAATGCACGTCATTCTAGTAAGATCAAAAATGTGACACGTTGCTTCTATTATTTTAATTTGTAATTATCCAAGCTGTAGCGTTTAAGTTTGTTGTTAATATTGTAAATTTTCACAACAATGGCGTCGCAAGGATGACGATGCAATTTGTCTAGCAAAAGAATTCCGTCGGTTTTGCGTACAAAATGTAACAGGCGAACGTTATATATCGCCCCGCCGTAATTACCCGCAGCCACCCTCAGGAGTGCGGTTTCTGCGTGTATTCAGCAGCATCGTCGCGCCTTCCCTCCCCCATTCTCCCGCATAACGGCTCACCTAATAAACCCTCTCGACCTGTGCGCCGTAACTATTACTCAGAATTTATGGCAGATCGCGATAATTAATAGAGCCGCGATAGAAACGGCGGTTTGTGCACGAAGAGCTATCTCTCACGCTTCTGGTATTGGGACAGCATAGTGAACAGAATGCAGACGTGTCACTACGGAAATTCCATATGCATGAGAACGATGAGTACACTGGATATTTCTAAAATGTTTCATCCGGCGTCTTTGCAAAATGTGAGATACAGTCATCAACGCGATTTTTCGACTTTTATCACTCGATTTGCAAAACACGATGAGTCATATGAGATAAATTCGATATAATATCAAAAACGCTGAAGTAACTATCATAATGTTTCATCATACTATAATTGATACCGCGTTGAAAATACATCTCCAAAGTTCGGTTTATAGATATTTTCCTTTTTTTTTTTCTCTACTTTTCTTTTACTATTATAACACGTTATTATTTTCTATATTGATAAATTAGAATCGACAATGTCGCCTTGTCATGCCGAGGGAACCGCGCTTGAAGCTACACGCGCTCTCGGATGATTTATCGCGATTGTCGACGGCACTTTTTAGACGAAGGTCGAGCGGTTTCTCCGTGGGATAAGTTGCAATATCATACTTCAGTCCACTTTCTGAACAAACCGCAGCCATGAAAGAGCAAAAAGGATCAACTAAGTTGTCGTTGCTATTCCGGAACTGAGAGACGCGCTCCCAAAGCGCGCATCACTTTCTTGCCGTTTCGAAGCAAATCGCTTCCGCTTTCTTACAGTGGACATATTACAGGTCGCGCAAAAAGTTCCTCTTAAGCGAAACTTCCGCTAACGCGACGAGTTTTCGGCACGTAGTCGTCGCGTCGCTACATCCCTTGATCATCGACACCGTGTCCGTGCGCGTAACTTCGGCGTCGAGTTTTTGCCTGTAACATCCGACGAGGATCCGGTTTTTCTCATCCGCGCCGAACGTGACTTCGGTCCGATCCGCGGATTTAATTGAATTCTGAATTATGATCGCTAATGCATTCCAATGACAATTGATTTCGCCAATTGATATTGACGCTTTTTACATGACAAATTTTAAATTCTGCCATTTTTTAAATTGCTAATGCGGATGAATATTTCAATAAACGGCTTCTCAGTAAAGTTATTTTTTCAATATACTTCTATTTGAAACAACAATGAATCACATATCTTATTAGGAAAAAAACAATTTGTCTTTTAATATATTTCAAACTTACCAAAGACCCAAGTTATAATTCTCATCGAAAAAAATTAAGAGTCATAATTTCGCGCAATTTTCCACTAATGCATCATTACCATCCTGCATTATTATCAGTTGTAAATTTCCGTTGGAAATGGTATTCGTATTTCTCTTTTTTTGACATTTCTGTTAAAGACTTTAATGGAAACATGGGCTATCGCCATCAAACGTACAAATTACTTTGAAAGTTTGTCCGCGGCCAAAAATAGCGAGAAAAAAAATCAAACAAGCAAACGCGGATCACGACCGATAAAACCGTGACAATTTTCAAATAGAATTATTTACAGCGCCTGAAACAAAAATCGTGTTTATTCGAAACTCGCATTCTATTGAAAAATGCAAACCCACGCTCGCGGATAGATTTTAAACAAAATAAAAGAAGTCGCGCGCAAAAAATCTCCTCGGTATCCTCGTCGCGTGCTCTGATTTAAAAATATGACGATTGTTATTCCTCTGTCTGATAAAATGGACACTCGGCAAAGTTTGTCCTGCGAAAAAAATCCCTCCGCAATGAACATAAAAATGAGACCGGAGAGTAAAAAAAAAGAAGTGAGGATAATCGGCATATGATGGTCGAACGAAATGAAATAAAGGGGAAAACGCGTTTTCACATTGGAAAATGTCCAAAACATGGTTAATGTTTCCGTATAATTATTCAAGCGTATTGTCGCAGCTACAAAACATAATTAAATCAGAATACATTTTCGCGTCGAGGAGATATGCGGCTGTCCATCATCAGCATTTTCGCAATCCGACCAATATTTTTCCGAATGATCGACATTACGTGTTACTTTTCGAACGTGCTTTATTGAAAATTATGAACGAGACTATTAATACTGCAAATGGCTAAATTAAATTGCAAATATTCCTCTCTACAATAGGAAATGACAAATATCGAAAAAAACATTAAATGTGCATAAGTTTTAAACATAACAATGGAGATTTCAGCGAATGCCAATGTTTTAGTTTTAATTATAGA